AGGCGGCCAGAGGCTTCCAGAAGAAGGTACTCTTATTGCCATGACTGTTATGACAATGATAAAATATTCAGTGACAGTGAAATAAGTGGTTCAAAATAGAGCTGGCTGACTTTATAAAGCAAAAAAGGTTAAATACACCCAATTTTTAAGATCAGGACATAAACATTCAGAGGCACGGCTCACCTAGTGAAGTGTCCAGATCATTTTGTTTCTGACAAAAGTGCCGTCCATCGTAAAGAGGGACTTGTTCATCCAGGAAGAGCTAGCTGATTTCTAACAAGTTGAAAAAGATGACTATTCTGATGGATAAATGGGAGAGAATTACAGACAGGAAGAGGACAGGAGAAAGCCCGAGCGATGCTTGCGAGGCCTTCGGTCACGGAAGTCGGGCCTGGCTGCCTCGTGGTGATTTCTGCTCAGTGATGACCCTGCTCCCTACCCTAAGGCCCCAAAGGCCTCACGGGCCGCACACATTGTCATCTCGTTTGAGTGTTCAGGTTCCTACTTCCTCCCAGCAGGCCTCGAGATGACCAGCAAGCCTGCAGAGGGAAAGTCCCCAGCAAAACCGGAACCTGTAATCTGCCTTCTTGCAGCCCCGGGGTGTTTGTGTTTCAGACAGAAGGGGATGGGTGGGACCAGCTTTGCCTTCCCCTTTCTTCTTTATTTTTGGATGCCGGTCTATTTAAATACTTACACATATGTGTACCTTTTTTCTCAGGCGGGTCACAGCAACAGAGTGCCTTTCTTTCTCACGGGGCTTCCTGTGCGTGTGTGATGAGGCTGAGTGTGCGTGGGGACTCAGCCGTGGTGTCACTCTGGGCAGATCTGCTGCCAGGTCATTTTCCAGTTGCGTCTGGCTTTGCATTTGTGCAATTCCCCCTTCTCCCTCTCCTTCTCTTGGTTTTTGGTTTTGGTCCCCACCCGCCCTGCGACCCCAAGTGAATCCCGATGGACCAGACGGTGACCTGTACAAAGGGACAGGAGGGCTATCTCCCTCACTCGCACCAAGCTTCACACCACACAGACTTGAAGGGGAGACCGGTCTGTTCACGGTTGCTTCTGGCGAGTTAGAAGTGCCGCAAACAGGATGTATTCTAGGGGCTGATTGGCTCTGACATGGTAGGATCGGTCTAGACTGAAAGCATCACTGTGAGCTGCTTATTATCAACAGTCATCGTAGTGTTCGTGTACTGCACTAGGGTATACAGAGTGCTTCGATGTTCCACTTCTTTGGACTCGGAGAGCTGTCTTCTTTGTGCTAGTCTGTTCAGTGGGCTGCCGTTGTCCTCCCCAACCTGCTGTTCTGAGTGCTCCGAGGTCTGTGTGGTGGAATAGCTTTGGAAGGACCTCGCTGAGACATTTCTCAGGAAAGCCAGCTGATGGATGGCGTGGAGGACATGAGCTTCCCTGCGTGAGCACAGTAGCCTAACCGAGTGTCTAATCCAGTTGGAGTCAACCCATTTTGGGAGAAAATACCCGTAAATGATGGTTCCCAGCTCCAGGATTGTGAAAGAGCTTTAATGAAAGTAGCCTACTGCTATAAACTGCAACTCTCCACAGACTTGCATTCGGCTCATGTTTGAGAGGCTGCCAGAGAGTGGTTCTGGCCTCATTTAGTGCCCTTGCTTATTGGGACTCCTTGGAAGCTCAGCTGTCTTGCATGTGAAAATTCCAGTCTCTGTGCCCTCCAAATATAAAAATGACTGAGAGAATCATCTCAGGGACATTTGAGTATAAATACAGCCTCAACATCGGTGACTTTGTGGGAGTATTCTTCATGAAAATATAAACTTTCTTTCTTAGGTTTTTAGTATGTATAAGATGGATAGCTGGTGTGAGCAAGTACCTTTTTATGAGAGACCACAAAATTTCCTGTTCTGTTGAAAAGAAGCTGTTGCATTCTTGGTTGGGGGCTGTTTTCTTGAGTCTTTTAATGTGAATTTCTGGAAGGGACAGTCCCTTCTTTTTTTATTTTTAAAATATTTGTATTAGAGTAGAGTTGATTTACAATGTTGTGTTAGTTTCAGGTGTACAGCAAAGTGAATCAGTTATAGGTATACCTATATACCCTCTTTTTCAGATTCTTTTCCCATGTAGGTCATTACAGAGTAGTGAGTAGATAATAAGAATAAAAAGTTGCAAATATGACAGTGGACTGGGTAGGCGGGGCCAATACTTCCATGAAGCTCTTCCATGTACCTTCTGGGGATTACCCTTCTTTGAATGAGTGACTGGAAGAAGGAATGAGATGAAGCAGATAAATAACTATGCTTCTGTTCCAAGCAGTATTGGAGGGGTTAAGAGGTTCAGGAAATCTACAAGGGGAGATTATGCAAAAATTACATATGTAACTGAGTATCTTTTATCTGGGGTTAAAAAAGTTTTTTGGGGGGAAGCAATGTATCTTCCTTCTTAATTACTGTATATTTAATTTTGGTTTGGACACCAAGATTAAATATTTGAATTTCACTGGTTTAACGAATTCCCTCTGTTATGAAGGGGAGAATACACCAGAAGCATATTAGTAATTCGTTGTGTATGCCAGCCCTTATTCTGGGATTGAAATTTCATGGTAGACCAGCCAGCCCTGACTCACAGGTATTTCTGCATACACGTTTGTCACATTTGCTGAAGTGGCCATTTAATCTCCCATGATTTAATTTAGGTTGCCTGGATAGTATCTGGAAATAAAACATAAAAAAATATGCCTGTGAGCCTTTTCAGTAGTTAGATGCATTTATTTTTGTCCCCCACCCCCCATTTTGTTAGGCTCCTTTTTAATGGCATTTTCGCCAGTGGAAATTTCTCTAGCAGCTATTATGCAATCATAGCAGCTGTTTATAACCTGGTTTGGGAAATTAATGAACTTGCATGATCTTGTGGTCAGTTAAGAATGCCTTAAGCAACTCATACAGTAAAGGATTTCTGACATTGCTATGGACCTTAACTCTTTAATCAACTTCTTTGTTTTTTATTGCCTACATTTCCCTAATAAAGTACAAATTTCAAGTACAAAGCTGCACTTGGAGAGGATAAAGAATATGGATTTCTATTTAGAAGAGTGATAGTGTTTTCTCTTTTTAACCTCCTGGAAAAAGCATCTCATAACTTCTTTCTCTGTTTGAGAAGGCATAGAGGCAGTACTGCATTTATTTCATTTTACAAGAGTATTTGGAAAAAAGGCTAAAAAATAATATTTTAGTTCCAAGGTCAAGGAAGGTCAATCTGCTCTTAGTCTAATGGAATTTTTTTTTCTCATGACCAGAATATTTTGCCAAATGGGGCCTTTTGAAATCGTCTCCCTGGCTTGAGTTAGGATAGGGAAGGAATTGAGCCTGACACTGCTCAGATTTCTTCATCTACTCATTGGGGTCTAATTCGTCAGCCAGGAATCCCATCATAGCAGACATGATTCTCAGCCTGTAGATTTCTGGCTCTGGAATTCTTGCGGTCCCAAACACTGCTGTCTCCCTCTGGCAGATGGAAGCTGCGCCCGACTCTGAATCTCTGTCCTAGGGGCTCTGGAGCAAGACGAGACCACGCAGGGGGCTCGCATACTGGGCCCAGGCAGTCCCTCCTCCCCAGAGCAAACCCACGCACCTCCATCCCCACCGGCCACTCCCTCCATCCGTCCTGCGCATCCTCACAGAGAGGATTTCACAGTGTCTCTTCCCATCCCTCCTCCCTGCCCTCCTCCCACCTCCTCTTCCTCCAGGCAAGCTCGGGGGCCAGGACTCCTTTGAGAGCATAGAGAGCTACGATAGCTGCGACCGCCTCACGCAGTCCTGGAGCAGCCAGTCATCCTTCAACAGCCTGCAGCGCGTCCCGTCCTACGACAGCTTCGACTCAGAGGACTACCCAGCCGCCCTGCCCAACCACAAGCCCAAGGGCACCTTCAAAGACTATGTGCGTGACCGTGCTGACCTCAACAAGGACAAGCCTGTCATCCCTGCTGCGGCCCTGGCTGGCTACACAGGTAGGCGCCTGCCCCGCCTCCTGCTCGCTGAGGGTGGGCTCCCTGGAAGCTTCTGTGCACATTCCCAGCCCCTGAAGTCAGCCTCTTTCTTTCTAGGGGGGTGGGGAGAATTAGACTCCGAGAGGTTGGGTTAGCCTCTCAAGCCACTCTGTGAATAGCCATTGGGTTTTGGAAGCAAGCAGTGTCATTCTATCCCAAGGGATCCTTTCCAAGATTGGTAGGGAAAACTGATATTTTGGATATTTACCCCTAGCTGGGAGAAGGGAACTCTGTTGATTTGGTGTTTCTGGAACCTCTGCCTTGTGGTCTAGCATCAGAGGACTTCTCGCCTGCTCTTGGGAGGTCTCTCTAAACCCAAAACCAGCAGTGGCATCTCTCAAAGCCATCACTGAATGGCCTACACCCTGGACTCATCTGCAGTAGAATCCTCATTATTTGGCTGGTCTCTCCAATGGGAAAAGTGCCCTCAGTCACCGGACACTCTGGCCGGGTCCTGCCCTATACAGGAAACCTTTCTTGTCACTTAGCTTTATTGTTGATTTTTTTCCAGGAGTGAAAGTTGTAGTAGTGGTGAACGAAGAAAGATCACAGAGAAAGGAAGATGTATGTGGAGAGTCTGGGCTTTGATTGAGAATCTGGTAATAGAGCAAAATGATTCATTGCCCAAGCAAGGTGTGGCCCATAGGCTGTCTAGCTTTGGAAGGGTTTGGAGAGTGTATCTGACAGCTGTCCAAGGAGCAGGCGCATGTTAATGATCAGACCCTTTCTGTAAGATTGTCGTGTTTTGTAAGCATTAGAAATGGTGTCGCGAGCAGAGCTTATTTTAAGCTTGGAATGACACAGCTGTGATCTTGCCCTCTCTTCTCTTACAGTTTATCCGCCCTGGATAGGTCACTGGTGGGGGCCCTTTGTATGGATGAAGACAGACAGCAAAATCTGCGTTTCTAGTGACGTGTCTGTCTGATCTGAAGAGTGTGCTGGATCCCTGTTCTTGTGTGAGGGAAATCTCAGGTCTTTACTAGGAAAGCCAGCTGACCTTTGAGAACAGCTCACGTGCTTAGAAAAGTTCCTCCTCCTTCAAGGATCAGGGGTGTGTGTGTGTCTTCTACGTTGTACTCTTCCAGCTCCCCATGCGGTTCCGTGCACAGATAGGTGCTCAGGAGTCAGGTCTGGATTTTGAGGTAGCGACAAGGTCTGTATATAGAGTCATGGGCCAGAAAGGAGCTTAAAGGTTCCCTACTTTTATCTTGCTGCAGTGTTCCCCAAGTCCTTGCTGGGACATCACGAGTAAATGGGAACTTGCTGCTTTGCCAGGGAGTTCCTTCCCATCTTGGGCAGCAGACAATGAAAGTTTGCCCTTTTCCATTAATGACACCTGGAATAAGGGAAGTATATAAAGTCTCTTTCAGTATGCACAGGAGTGCTGGCTCCTGTGATAACTCTTAGGTGTTGTAAGAACTGGACTCCAGTTGGATACACTGATGAAGGAGGAGAGAAGTGCTGCTTAATCAGGAGGAGAGGCCGGGGCAGCTGTGAAACGACTCTGGGCCCTGGAGGTGGCAGACATCTGTAAGCGGCGGTGCTTGCTTCTGTTTTTGTGGCGCAGGTTACACTCGGCGCTGTCATTTGCCCAAGTGTGAAGGCCACCTCTTCTCCTTCTGCCCTAGCTTCCAGGACCAAATCCTCGGCTTAGTTTCTCCTTATTAAAGGTCCTGCCTTAGTCCCTCTGGCATAATCTCCACCATAACCACCATTACCAGGCACGATTATAATTTTCTCCCATATGACAGTTTTCATCATTCTCTCTTAGCTTGGTGTACAATTCTGAGAATTTTGCTAGTTAAGGCGATTTTGTGGATAATGATATTAAATAAGCTGACTTTTAAGTTCTAAAGTTTGGGTTCTGGCCAAAGAGAGTCTTACGATTTAGGTCATCAGCCTTCATGGGAAAAGATTCTGTTAAGGATTCATGGCTACACTACAGAAAGTCTAGAAGTTTCTAGAAATGGTGAAAGCCTCATCTCCACCTCAGATAGAAACTCCTCTGCAAGGGGTCTATATATTAGTTATTGGATTTCCTAGATGGGAGAAGCTTGCAGAGCTAATAGTCTACGAGAGTGATTTAAAGGGTTTTGACTAAGATGATCTCAGTACCTTGGCAAGAATTATCTGAGAGTTGGGAATCTCTCCACGTGTCCCAGTTTCAAGAAGAGAAGGAAAAGGACGAATTGGAAATTTTAAGAACGAGGGATGAGTGTGAAGTACAAATTAGGGACATGAACTTGCCATCAAGAGGGCCAACACCAAAATGCCGCCCGTGAGGCTCCTCTGGCAATCCTAACCCAGAGCCAAACAGATGAGAACCTCAAAAGCTCTTTTCAGGACAAATACAGGAATGTCCTGGAGCTGTGAGTTATGTTTGATGTCATCCCTTATTTGGATAGATTATTTTTAATGGGTGCCCCTCCCTCCCTCTCTCCCTCCCTCTCTTTTCCTCTCTCTTTCTCTATCTCTATCTCTGTCTCTGTCTCTATCACTATCTCTTTCTTTCTAGGGGAATAAAACTAATTCAGTGAATGGAAGCAAAGAGAGGATGATTATCAGTTAGAGATCTCAAAAATTCAAGTAGTCATTTGAACTAAAAAACATTTTTTTAAGTATCTTGCCATTCAGTTGTTTCTTCTTTATAACTGGGGATTTAACTTTTCAAACCATCTCAAATGGAGGTGCAAACAATAGCCCAGAAAACAGAAGTCCTCTGTGCTCCTCCCAGCGCTAACACACTGTGTGATTTCAGGCAAATTTACCTTGTACCCTCTTCTACTTTTAGTGAAATGGAAGTGTCCCTCCCTCTCTTGGTGGTAGGAGATCTGTGAAAATGTAATTGAACTAACTCAATTAACGAGACAAATGAGTGCTAGACTTGGTGCTAGACGCAGGGGAGAGAGCTCACTCGTAACAAATCAATTATTTCAGCAAATCTGAGCCCATGTTGAGTGCAGACAAGTGTTCGTAGCTTTGGAAGGTTCACTATCTTGACGAATTCAAGACATTGTCATTGTCCTTAGACTTGAACTGGATTTTCGTATTGCTGTGGTCTGATGAAGGTCAGGAATTTGTTAGGCATGTCGGGAGTGGTCCAGATTTGGGTGGCTTTTCTTCCTGTGTTCAGTGCCTGGTGGACTTCTCCTGTCCGCAGTGCAAACTATATCTTGCCCCTCATTGTGACCCCTTATCATTTCACATACATCCTAGGGAACGGGGAAGGGGGATGGAACATGCTTACTCAGCCCCCTCCACCACATGGGGAGCGTGTAGTGACTGGAGTTTTTATAAATGGATCTCTGAGTCTATGCAGACATGCTAAGATGAGCTGAAGTTTGGAAAAGTACTTTGGAAAGTGCAAATCATTGTATAAGTGTTGGCAAGACTTTTCATTGCTCATAAATGTCACACCTATTTTCTATCTCAAGTTCTGAGTTTTTTTTTTTTTTTTTTTTTTTTAATCTGTCTCCTTAAAATTTGACTAACTCCAGAGTATGTGTGGCCACACGGTAGGAGCACGTGTACATCACTTTTACATCACTATGACTTGGCTTGAACTAAGGGATGTATGTATAGATTCCCTGTGCTGGGGTGTGAATCCGTTCTCCTGCCAGTGCAGTAGGAGCCTAGGTCTCTGTTCATCTCACTCTCAAAGGAATACATTTAACTTCTTCTGATGCTGTCTTAGTTTCGGCACTGTAAGTGTGGAAATCAGTTAGAAACTGAATTTTCACATTCTCTTGCACAGTTGCATTCTTCCTCGCAAGATAAGAAAATTGCATCAACCTTCACTGGGCTCCCATGGCAACTTGTTAAATTAGGTCAAGATGTGTGAGCAGATAACATGGCTTGAAAGCCTGCCTGTTAGCAGAGTTAAGAATACATCAAATGCAGTGCTGGCTTCCGCCAAGAATGCACCTTCTTACCTTACTGGGACTGCTTTTGGTTATCAAACTGATACGATCAGAGAGCTCCATTTTCTTTTGTTCGAAGATACATTATGAACCCCATCTGATTACAAAACAAACTGAGAGAAGTGGCCTGGTGTTTTCTATGTATTTGACGGACCTAAACAAAAAGCTTTCTAGATCCTTGACACACATGGGCATCTCTGATTTTTTTTTTTTTTTCCATTTCAGCAGGTGTAGAATAATGCATTGGATTGTCAAAGAGTATCTTCCCTTCCTCTCTGTCCCTCCAGGCCCCTTTTATCAATGATGAAACTGAGGCACCAAAAAGGACTTATTCCAGGCCTTCTGCAGGAAGGTAGCTCTTGAATTGAACCTTAAGTGCCAGATGTCTCACCTGAGTACGAACTCTTTCTCCCTCTTAAAGAATGAGAACACTCATTGGTTATCTCAGTTGCTCCCATGGAGTAGATTAAGAGTCTTGTCTCTTGCTTGTCACTAATTCACACTGTGTGTTGGTGCGGGGGAGGGGGGAGGGGGGTCTTGGGGGCAGGAGGGAGTGGAGCTATTGGTCTGTAAATCAGCTTTATAGAACTTCACTCCAGACTGCCAGACTTTTGTGGCTACAAATAAGGATTCCTTTCCTATCACTTCTGCAGTTGGTATGGAGCAGGCCTGCTGGTAACTGTCGTGTTGTCGTTGTCTAGGAGAAGCCCCAGCTTTGTGTTGTGATTGTTGATGAAGTGGTGAGGGTCTCTTCTTTATCCTGGAGCCTGAGAAAAGCTAAGCCCAAAGCTAGTCAGTAACTATAACGAAAGTATGTTTTACCATGCTGGGCAGATTTGTGAATAGTTGATCCCTCAGTCTCCTAAAGGCTCGATATGGGACTGTCAGGAATTCAACTTGCAAATATTTTTGCGTGAGGCATCACACGAAGCCGTACCAGCCTTGTAGAAATAGAAGCCCTAGGTGTTCCCCTGTTGCTTTTGGCCTGAGATAAACCTGCTTCTTGCTATTTTGTAGATAAATTAGAGCTCGTCCACCGTC